ACATTATATTTGATGATATGGTTATTTTCTAAAAGAATTAATTTCTAGGTATATTTTTTGTTTGAATTTTTGAACAAATACTTTAATCTTGTGACAAACCTCAAACCCTAAAAAATTATAATTTTTTATATTTAATTTCGTGAGTTTTAAAGAGGTTTTAGAAATTCTAAATTGATCATGAAGTAGTATAAGAAGATGAGACGAGTTGATCGATGTTTGACTGTAAAAAATTGCGAAGAATGACGATATTCGATGGCCTTCGGAAATTGGTAAAAAAAATTATTTTAATAAAGAATATGATGAGATGGAATAAAATAAGGCTTAACAGTACTTGAGGTCATTGAACTTTTTTAAAAAAGTTAATGTGGTCCTTAAACTTATTTTAAACCCAACGTGACTCTCAAATTAAGGGAAAAAACCAACTTTCATGTGATCAATGAAAATTATCGTTGGTCATTACAATACTGATGAAGTAATTCACAATATTGATATGACACTCCACGATAAATGATGATATAACAAATGGACTTAGTTAATTCTTTTAGAAAATTCAAGATTTAATTGATTATTTTAAAAAGATTAAGGGCTCATTTAATTTTTAATTAAAAAGTATTATTATATCAGTTCACGCCATCATCTTCGTTAAATTTTAACGAAAACTTAACAACAAATGATTAAAATAAAAGAAAGTAAAATTAGTAATAATTTTCTAAAAAAATGGATTGGATATTTAAAGTAGAAGAGAGGTGGTAGTCAATGGTGTAGTTTACTGTTTACCCTTTTGAATAATAATGCTTTGGGGGATAAAATGAATTCATAATTTTTTACGACAAAATTGTAAAAGTGAGAGAATGGAAGTAAAAAAGTTGGTAATTAAGAATCCGACAGTTTGGATGAATAAAATATAAGTAATTACATTACTGAGTTGCATCTTGGACAAAACAGAGATGCATGGAATTCATGTCTATCTTCCACATTTATTCTTCGTACGTAACCCTACTAGGTTCCATTCTCTAATCTATAAACCATAATCTTACCTTTATTCTCTTTGTTCTAAGCAACGTTTGATTTTATTATGCACCAACATTGCGAAACCATGCATAAATACTTAATCATAGGTTTCGTATGTATATATATTTTGATCGGATCCCTACAGACCAGGAATCATTCCGGCGGTGTAAGGCACCCCGGCGTTTTGGATCCACTCCTCACCGCGTAAGAACACGCCGGCCGTGAATTCCTGGGCTTGAGCTTCATTGATCTGTTGGATACCTTTCCATTTAACCCTGCGTGTCTGCTCGGCGCCTGGTCCTCGGTTGTTGTACTCGGCGTAAAATAGGGTATCGAGTGCGAAGTCGCCGTTCCACGGCATCCATCCCTCAGGTGTGACGATGTCGTCCATCTGAGATTGCATGATGATGGTCCTTGAACACAGTCTCCACGGCCGGCCGAGGTGCGTTTTGCTTCTCGCCTTCACCGGGAGGTAGTCTGGATCACCGGTGATGGTGCAATTCTGGAGGACGAAGCCGGATGCCTCGCGGTTGTCCTCTCGTCCTTGAGCGGTGATGATGCATTGTTGATTGTCGAGCGGTTTCCGAACGATGAGTTTGCAGTTCTGGTAGACCGAAGCCGAGTTACCGAAGATGAAATCGATAGTGCCGGAGATGGTACAGTCCCGGTAGTATTGTCGATGACTATGGGCGTAAAGGGTGTCTTGGTAGCCGTCAAATTGACAGTTATAGAAGATGGATTGATCACCTTGAACCCTAACAGCCACCGCTTGGTGCTTAATAGCTCCGGCACTGTTCTCGAATCCGATGTCCTTCGCCATGAATTTCGGCCCGGCAACACCTGTAAACATCATTCTATGTTACTCGAATTCAAGTGAGTTTTATAATACAATGTATGTTACTAACCAACAGTTGCGGTCCTGAATGTGATAGTGCCGTCGGCAAAGTTCAAGTTACCGGTGATGACGGTCTTCGTAGGTCCGTCCCCGACGAACATGACATTATGCATGTGCTTATCGACAATAACCTGTTCACTGTAAACACCGGTCTTAATGTATATCACAAACGGGGCAGGACTTTTCTTAGGGACTTCTTTCAAAGCTTCATTGATGGTAATATATTTGCCACTGCCATCTTTAGCGACGATAACATTAGGCTTTATTTCCGACGGATTTTGTAGCAATAACATCCGTTGCCTAAAACTAACCCACACAGGGAACCCTTCTTTAGCCATTAGCTTACGTTTAGCACCGGCTTTGTCACCTTTTCCCAACCCTTGAATGTTCAAATTACCGACGATTTTCGAAATGTCACTAACCATGGCTAGTCCATTGATGGTTAGCTTTTGTGAAGTGTTCAACAGTCGTTTCATTTTCTCGCCGGCGTCGGTCGACACGTTAATGAATCCGTCCAAGCATGTTTGTTGATACGTCATGGCGCCTCCCATCCAAATCTTGAGGTTCTCGATGTATTCGTCTAGCCTGCTAACGTCGAATGCGCCTAGTTCGTCGAACGAGTTGTGTAGGTCGTCGATGGCGTACCCCATCAGCTCTTTGCAATTATCGACGGCTTGACGTGTCATCGGATCTTTTGCCGCTTGTTGAACAGTGCCGGAGTTGTTGACGACCCTCTGTATCTCGTGGATTGCGGCTTTGAAGCCCGCCCTGATTAGCTCTTTGGGGTCGGTTGAGTTGGTGTCCTTGAGGCTCTCTTCGCATTCTTTTTTGTAATCAATAGGTTGGCAAAGTGATTTCACTGCCTTACTGGATGTCGCTGGCTCTTCGACACTGCCGCCTTCCTTGCCACCGTTACGACGGTTAACACCAACCGCCACCGCTACCACCATGGCCACCAATATGACTGAACAAACACCGATAATTGCCGGTGCTTTTCCCATTTTCAAATAGCTTGTTCTTTTTTTTTTCTTTCACAATATCTTTTTTTGATAAATTTTCTTTCACACTATTTTCTTGGATAAATTTTCTTTCACACTAAAATATAGTTTTAGAGGAAAGAAAAGTTTATTGAGGAAGCTTGTAAGAAATTTGATTTGTACGAGGTAATTGAAACAATTTGAAGAAACTGTTTCTTCAAATAGAATGAACTTGAGAACATGAACCACTAAAATTAAAAATAGAAGGAACTCTTTCCTCAATCTAAAATGTTGGAAATTTGATTGGTGAAAGTTGCATGCTTGTAGGCAGTCTTGGGGGCTATTTTTGGCTATTTGACCAATCTTTCATACAAACTAAAAGAAAAGAAAAAAAAATAAATAAGAGGTCATTGTAATTAAAAAAAATTAATGTGACATTCGTATTAATTTTTTCTCAATGTGACCATCTAACTTAGAAAATAAATACAATATGGGCATTTGACCAACGTTTTTCGTCGTTGACCATTGTAGTATTGACCTTCCAGTTCACAGTGCTTAAATGACGGTCCAACTGTAATGTTTGAGTTACCAATTTAATAAATATATCATGTCGTCCGCCACGTTAATCTGTCACCCTGGACTGTCATGTTAGTATTGCGGACTGTCACGTCAATATTGTGAATTACCACATCAACACCGTAACGATCAAAAATGAAAAATGTTAATTAAAAGACACCATATTAACAGAAAATAATACAAATGACACGTTGATTTTTTTAAAGTACAAAGTCATATGATTTTTTTGTCAAAAAAAAATCTAAAAATACTCTTATAATTTAATATTTTATTTAAAGAATTAAATAAAAACCTCATTTTTATTTTAAACCAATACTAGTTTGATCAATTCCGAATGAAATATTTATATATTTTAATATTTAGCTATTGTGTAAGTGTCATAAGATCATTACTTTCTTTTTAAAAGATATGTATGATGAAATGTTTAATGTCACCACTTATAATTTCATAAATTTTTAATCTCCCATCAATGAAAATATTAATAGAAATGATATAATTTTCTTAAATATGAATATTATCTAAGAAATGATTTAATTTTAATTTTAACCATCGATTTAAATAATATAAACTTATTTAATTAAAGACGTCTAAAGTCGCACGGATCAACTCTAACACGTGACACTTTACATATTGATCAAGTGTTTTTTTAGTCGGACACAATGTTAATGGATATCGAAGAATGGTGTGATATTGATTGGTAATTGTTATCTCATACTCTTTTCTTTTCTTTTTTATTTAGCCAGTAGTGATATTAATTTTAATATTAATTACCGACCACAGGTGATTATTATTTTTTCTGTTATGTTTCATATTATATCTTTGTTTTTTTCTCGACTTCTTTCACTTTCAAATAAGAATCTTTGTCCTTATGACACGATTTTCTCTACTCTCGTAGCACGTTTTTTTCTCTATTCTTATGGCACATTCCTTATGATTTTCGGTAAGTTTTCCCCATATTTCTGCGGTCGTGTTGGTGCTTTCACAAAGATTCTCACGGTATTTGTGTTCTGATTAGCTTGTTGGCGGGCACGTATTGTCAAATCCCCTCTTTTGTAAATGGACATTTTCCGATATAATTAGAATTGTGTAGCGAAACAGTCTGTCAAATTATTTGGTTCGCTCACCACTTCTTTATTACATCGTAAAGCGTCTCGTACGATAGAAACAATGAGTTTTATGTTCGCTCACCACTTCTTTATTACATCGTAAAGCGTCTCGTACGATAGAAACAATGAGTTTTATGAAGATTACTGAGTTGTTTGGATATTTGAAAGGTTTCATTCTCTTTTTGTATTTGGGTTTAATATTTTTATTTTATGTATGAGTTTTTGGTTTCCACTATCTCCAAGTTTCTTTTTAAATGCGTCGTAATTTTGATTCATTAATTTTTATTAATGAAATTCAGTTAACATTGTTAAAAGAATATTTACAGCAAAGAAATAAAACACCGATGATCTATAAAGAAATGGAGCAGAACTTTATAATGTATATAAAATATAATTCCATATTGATCTTGGTTTATTGTTCCTTGTATTTGTTTCGAAACCAAAGGGTAAAAAAGAAAAGATTCTGCTCCATGATCTTGGTTTTCAAGATTCTTCAAAGCCTAGCTCTTCGTAGTTCTAACTGGGCAATCGTACCCAAGTGCACTTCATCAGGTCCATCTGCAATTCTCAAAGTTCTTGCTGCCGCCCACATGTGTGCCAGAACGGTGTCGGACGATACCCCGGCTCCACCGTGTACTTGGATTGCCATGTCCAGCACCTTCAGCGCCATGTTCGGAGCTGCCACCTGCCACATCCAACATCCGAAACATTCTACTGTAACAAAGTTCATCATGAACCTCGAACGAAATTAATGTAGGCGTAAAAATATTGGTTACCTTCGCCATTGCAATGGTTCCACGGGCGTGCTTGTTTCCAAGTCGATCGAGCTGGTCGGCAGCTTCAAGAACCAATAACCTAGCTTGCTCCAGTTCTATTCGACACTGCAAAAAGCAACGATTTTCAACTAAATGACCAACCTCTACTTGATCACTAAAATGTACATTCTCAGTACTCCAATCAATACACATATCCATATAATCTCTCGTTATAGATAGACAGATTAAGTTACCTTTGCAATATCCGAAATAAATGAACCGTGTTGAGCAATATATTTTCCAAAAGTTTTCCTATGAAGAGCCCTTTGTGCCATTAACTGCATGCCACGCTCAGCTGCACCAATCATTCTCATGCAGTGGTGCAATCTTCCCGGGCCGAGTCTTCCCTACAAGGATATAAAAAATTATATCATACACCGACAATGGTTGGTTATTGACGTTTCTAGATAAATTTTGGAACTTGAAAATTAAATTTAAAGAAGGTCGAGCTTATAAATGCTGAAGTTCGAGGTGCCCAATTTGTGTAGACGCAATTTGCAAATGCATCCAACTTTTGAGAACCTAGGTACATGCAAATATTGTGGGAAGAGAGAAAAACTCGAAACAGAATATGTACGGTGGACATGGCATACTCCTTCCGATATAAATGGCAACTTTACCTGGGCAATCTCAAATCCGCGACCTTCTCCCAGTAGAATATTCTTTGCTGGCACACGAACATTCTCAAAAGAAACTTCTGCATGCCCGTGAGGTGCATCGTCAAAGCCAAAGACTGTTAGTGGCCTCTTTACAGTTATCCCCGGAGTCTTAATGTCTACTAAGATCATGGACTGCTGCTTATGCTTGGGGGCGGTGAAGTCAGTTTTCCCCTGGATATCATTCAGAAATCAGGTCACGTTTTAGTCAAATTAGTATTCGCTAGCACGTGTATCAGAAGCTATAGATTAGATGCATGTCTAATATACACTCAACGCCATTCTAAAAGACTAACCATGAGTATAAGAATTCTGCATCTTTGGATCCATGGCGCCGCTCGTCCACCACTTGGTCCCATTGATGACATACGAATCTCCTTCTCTGTAAAAAGAGTGCATAGACGGTGAGATAAACTCCAACAATATCCATAAATCAGATAAGAGTGTAATAAATTGGAATGAATGAGGGGTTGAAGTGCAGTTACACAAATTTAAATCTCCATTGTTTTACCAATGAATAGAAAGTTCATATGAACAGTACAACTTGCTTTAGAATTACTAAAATAGAATTAGGTTGATGTACCTTTTAATAGAGCACTCGATATTGGTTGCATCTGAGGATGCAACTTGTGGTTCAGTCATTGCAAATGCAGAGCGGATTGTCCCCTCAAGCAAAGGAACAAGCCATTCGTTTAGCTGTTCTTTAGTTCCATACCGCAACAACACCTAAAAACGAAACAACAAATATAAATAAATGTAATGGTAAATCAAACAGATACTGGATTCGCTAGGTAGGAAGGAAAGGAAATTGGAGAGGAAGGAAAACGGAAGAAAATACGAAATTGTAAGTTGGGTCTATTTATAACCTTGTAAATAGTCAATCTTTTAGTTGAAGCATGCTGAGAACTGCCTTAGTGTACAATAGAAGTAAGCCTTACCTCCATATTACCAGTGTCTGGTGCACCGCAATTAAAGATCTGCGGAGCACAAAGAGAGCGACCCATAATCTCACAGAGATATCCGTATTCAAGGTTTGAGAGGCCAGCACCAAGAAAACGATCATTTGCGTAGTCAGTATTTACACTCCCATTATAAATGAGTTCCTTTGCCCTAGCAGCACTGTCAAACTGGACAAAAACGGTTTCTCGAGAATGTCATATTTTCGAATATACAGTAATATTTTAAGAGTAAAAATAGTAATTGGTGAAAAAAAAAAGTTCAAAGAGAAGAGTTGGCACATACAGGAATCCATAAGTTCCACAATCCTTCTTTCTTTGCAAGCTCTTTTAACCTCTCCTCCTCTGGATGCACCGTCCAACGCAAGTCAGATCGTGCAAGTTTGCTGAATTCCTCTTCCATGGGATAAATGTGATCTTCCATGAATTGAATCAATTTGTTTCTTAATTCCTGGACCTTCTTACTTGGAACAAACCTCCCGCTTCCTTCTGGAACGCTTTGGACTTTGTTCTCAGTCTCGAATTGCCTTCTACCTTGTGGAACTGGATTTAAGTAGTTAAAAGAACAAAAGCACCTTAAACAATTGCTTCAGACCAAAATTTCATAACCAAATTGATGTGCAAGTAAATATGTTAAAATATACAACAATCAAGAACTTAAATGATGTTTCTTAAGAAGTTTCTGTGATGCAGCTAGAAGCACATAACAGTCTTCTTAAGAAATTTCTTGAGAGAGAAAGAGGGGTAAATGATTGAACGGCTTAACTACCAGAGGGGGGATACTCCGGAAGCACATTCTTCTTTGCAATAAAAAGCCAATGCAGAATCTATGAGACTATTAGCGTGACGTCCTGTATGTTCCGCACGTTTACCTCCGGAGGCATTACCCTGCATAAATGTGAGTAAAACATTGCATCAATGTTGGACTTTCATAAACTGAAGCTTTTATAACAATGAATTACAATAGAACTCCAATCTAATTAATGTCATGCCATACCATTAACCATCTATTATACACTCCTGTGTAGATCGATGCTCCACGGAACATGGAAAAGGCGACATAGAACTTCCACTGAGAAGCAGGCCATGCTCTCCCCTACAAAGCAACATTTTTCAGCAAAAGCAATGTATCAATGAATTAACAGAACAGTTATCTTATAGACGATTTCCATTTATTGGGAACTGAAACCTAAGCATATTCACGGTCAAAGAGATGGGGAAATGGTGATCGAGGGGAGTGAAGTGGGTATCAGAGACACTTAACGATAATTTCCCCATGAAATGAGAAGACTGTTATAGCTGTATATATTAATCAAAGGCATGTTTATAGTTACTTACAGATTCATTGCAGTATTCAGCCAGAAACTCAGCCTGTGTAGGAATCCCTTCAGGAATTCCAACGATCTCAAAACCTTTAACCAGTTCAGGTGTATCAAGCCCGACTTGTGCAATGTAAGGCTGCTGCCAATGGAGTAATGGAGAGGTTAGGTAATCAAAAGCCAAGAAGGTATAATATGACTCGGTTTCCCTATGTACTATATTACAAAAGAAACACTTATCTATCACTGAAAAATTAATACGAAAAAAGATATTAATCGTTCTCTTTATGCAAAATGGTTAAGTAGGAAAATCAGTCAAATACCATGCAGCTGTATGCGACATCGCACATCTGGTTTCCAATAGTAGACAGTTCCCAATCAAGAATACCGATGACTCGATCCTGCACATTAGAAGCATCTCATAATTTATGCTAATCAGAGAATTCAGTATTAAGTCTTATGTATGCTGAATTTGAACTAAGAAAACATTAAAAATCACCTCAAGTCCTATCAAAATAGTGTGGGATATTAGTTATAAAGTTTGGAGTGCAATTGGACCATAATCAGATCTATACATTCATGTTACTTCGTGGAAGATAAAATCATACCATTCAAACGATTAAAGGTTATTAAGAACCAGACCTCAGTGGGATGAAATACAACATTATCAATTCGGAAATCTCCATGAACTAGGCCTCCCGTTGCACCTGAAGCATCTTCTGGGGGAATATTCTTTCGCAACCAATCAACCAGCTCAAACATCTTGGGATTGCTCTCGGGTTTTCCCTCACGAGTTGAAGCCAGGTATTGCTTAAACCATCTCTCTATCTAAAAAAAAAGGAAAAAACATCCGTAAGCCCCATAGACATAAATTCTCTACATTTTTCTCTTCAAAGGACCATAGATTTCAAAAGCCAACACAGGCAATCTCATTAAGGACCAAGCTTGTACAATAATGCTTCTGCAAAATGCTCCTAATTCAATTAGTGAGAGTTTATATTACAAAAATAAGAGTTCACAGACCTGTCTTTTACAATAGTTGTCTCGACGCCCATAGTTTCCCAAACCAATGGCATCAATATTAGCAGAATGTAATGACGCCAACACTTTCGCAGTCGCCAGATATATTGCCTGCCTCCTCTCTCTGGTGGTACACCCTTTTAAAACAGAATTAGCAACAGAACTCAATTCATAACCTCACAAACCCAAGTAATAAACACATCATGCCATTGAAAAGAAAACAACCATTAGAAGCTTCACCACAGATTCAAAACATCAAGAAAAACATCAGTCGGTCTTACCGGAAGACTTGGGTCTACAAATATCCGACCTTCCAAGAACTCCATGATATAAAATGCAGTTCCGATCACGTTCGGATCATCACACAAACAGAAAACCTTTGGAACAGGAACTTTCGTATGATCCCCCAGGGCCTTGAGAACCTGAAAAAGAAACACGCAAAAAGGGGGGGGGGTTTCTTATATTACATACATTTAAAAGGAATATTCAAGAAACCCAATGCTGTAAATTTCACAAGCTATCCACAGAACTGTAATTTTCCCAATATAAAACGTAAAAATCATTTTAAAATATTTATAAATTTTATACAAAATTCGAGATCGAAGCTTTACACTTAATTAAGCAAAATTTAAAACAAAGAAATTGTAATTTTTATACAAATTAAAATTCACCTGAAATTCTCGGTCAACGGCATGAGCAGATTGAAGCAGCTTCCCGGGAGGTTTCTTCCTCAAAACGTAGCGTTTAACAGTTCCACTTCCATCTTCAACTTCCATCAAATACGTAGGATTCGATTGTCCATGTCCGAACTGCATATTTCATTGAATCAATCTCAAAAACAGTAAAAAAAACACTGAAAATAAAAGAATTCAAACAATTTATTGATATATTGTAAAGGGAAAAAACCTGAGAGAGATTGAATTTTGAAGGGGAGAAAGGAAACCCAGGAACATGAGTTTGGGCATAGCGAAGCAAGGCGTTAGCATCGAGTTTGTGAGCTTCCTGCACTGCCTCCACCAAATCACCCGTTCGATTAGCCATTGTTTTACTATGAGAAAACGAGATACCCCCACCCCCCTTTCTTTATTGTCTCGGATAACTTGAATTAAAACAAAGAAAAATAGATGTTAAAGTGATCCAAATTCACGAAAGCTGGGGTTTTTAGGAACAAATCTTCAAGCTTGGTTATTGAATTTGAAGATGACATAAATTTGCCTCTGCATCTAGAAAATAATTTAATTTAATTATGAAGGAAAGTCCTACACGGCCAAACCACTGTAAACTATTATTAAAATATTAAGGGTAAACTATGTAAAAAGTCCCTTTTATTTTTGATATTATCGATTTTGGTCACCAATTTTTTAATTAAATGTATTTAATGACTAACATTATCGGTCTTTTAGTTTAAGTCCTAGGTGACATTTCAATTTTAAAATAAAATAAAAACTTACATTCATTAACTGTGTAAGTGACTTGACAACTTTAGAATAATAAAAAAATCTCAACACCACTTCTTATTCCTCTCCTCTCACTTCTTCTCCTTTGTCTATTATTTCTTGTTGAATATTGTAGAAAATAATTCAAGAACTTATGCATGAAATGTATGCATTATTTTTATTCATTCAAAGAAGTTAACTCCCACATTTGTTCCACATCATCTTATAAAGAACCTCTACAATGTTGAACTACTCAAGAGAATCACCTAACAACATTTTGTTACACTGTTAAGGATAACAACCTTTTAACCACCTAGTTTCTAGATCATTTCTAGAATTCTCTCATGCATGAACATGCTGCATGAGCTACTATACTAGAACGAGAGCTGCACGAGCACACAATAACTCTCAACATTCTCCCTGCTTCTTCCCTCCTTCAGTAATCAAACAAACTTTGAGTTTATCACGAAAGCTAGCAAAGGTTGTCTTTGACAAAGGCTTACTCAAGCCATCTGCAACTTGATGAGTTGTTGGAACATAACTCACACAAAGTTGATTTGCAGCAATGTTTTTCGAACAAAATGCACATCTAAGTCCACATGCTTGGACTGCGAATGATACACTAGATTAGCACTTAATGCAATTGCACTTGTGTTATCACACCATATCGTTGGTTGCTTATATCGTGGAACCTTCAAGCCAGCAAGCAAGGCATCAACCCATGCTACTTCTGCTACAGTATTTACGAGACTTCTATATTCAGCTTCCATGGTTGATCGTGACACCACCTTTTGTTTCTTTGCACTCCACGACACCAGACTTTCTCCAATAAAAACACAGTGACCAGACATTGACCGCCTATCATCAACACAGCCACCCCAATCAACATCTGAGAAGGCTGAGATATGCAATTTGCCTGGTACAAAGCCAAGACCATAGTTCAATGTCCCAGCTAGATAAGGCATAATACGCTTAGCAGCAAGCAAATATTACTCTCTAGGAGCATGCATATACTGAGCCACCTTGTTTACACCAAAGGCAATATCAGGACTTATGTGACACACATAAAGTAGCCCCCTACTAAACTACGAAATTCTTGAGCATCAACAAGCAAGTGCCCTTCATCCTTGTTTAGCTTTGAGGAAGCTACCATATGAGTGACAGTGAATGAAGCCTTGATCATTTTTGCTTTCTCAAGCAGTTCCAAGATATATTGCTTATGACTAGGAACTAATAGTTGATCACATCGCTTGACTTCAATGCCTAAGAAATAGTGTATCTCACCTAGATCTTTTAAGGAAAATAACTCTTCAATAGCATAACCACCTTCTTAATCCCATTCGATCACTGTCATGTAACTATTATATCATCAACATAGACCAAAACATATGTTGGCATCTTATCTTCTGTAAAAAAAACAGAGAAGCATCAACTCTGGATTCCTTGAAACCAAGTTGAACCGGACTGTATTTTAACTTAGCATGCCAATTTCGTGGCGTCTGGCGAAGTTCATAGAGAGATTTTTTCAATTTGCAAACCAACCAACCACCTTTAGGAGTGTATTACTCAAAACCAGATGGTTGTTGCATGAAGACATCTTCACTCAAATCACCATGAAGAAATGCATTGTTGTCATCCATCTGTCTCAATGACCATCCTCTAGAAACAGCAAGAGCAAGTATAACATTCAACGTGGAGAACCGAACAACAGAACTGAAGGTCTCCTTGAAATCTTACCCAGGTACCTGAGAATATCCCTTAGCCACCAGACGATCCTTGTACCATTGAACCGACCCATCAGAATTACGCTTTATTTTAAAAACCACTTGCAACCAACAGTGATTCGTTCCTCAGGTAGCTTTACAAGAGACCATGTGCCATTACTCTGAAGAGCAGTAAGCCTAGCATACACAACTATCTTCTATTCCTTGGACTTCATGACTTCATCAATAGACACAAGAAGAGAATCATCCAAGGAGCTAACCAAAATATTGCGCTTAAAGATACCACATTTGCTTCTCGTTAGCATGGGATGTTGATTTGCAGAAGGTACATTCTGCTAAGGAACATATTATATGTGAAAATTGGGTAAATCTTCAGGTACTTCAGTAGACAATTGTGGAGGCTCAGGGTCATTAGACTCAGTTGTATTATCTTGCATAACTGAATTATCATCACCACATTGAATACTGAAATTTGCACCATCTTGACTAGCGGAACCTTCACGAGCATATGAAAACGTGTTCGGATGTATCGATGAACCAACCACAACCCTTATGCTCACACGTTCAAAAACAACTTGAAAGGGAGCTGATCGCCATGCACGAGTACTAGGTATACATGCAGATTGTTGTTTATCTGCAAAAGGAAATACATCCTCATCAAATTTAACATGCCTTGAAATATACACCCGACCATCCTGACCAATGCATTGAAACCCTCGATGTTGTGAACTGTAACCCAAGAACACACATGATGCAGAACGAAACATTAATTTATACTACTGAATGGGCCTCAAATGAGAAAAACAACGACAACCAAATACTCTTAGTGTCTTGTAGTATGGTTTTGTTCCAAACAACTTTTTAAATGGTGAAATGTTACCTAACACCCTTGTAGGTAATCAATTTATTAAATGTGTTGTTGTAGCCACAACATAGGACCAAAACCGAAATGGAATAGCAGCCTGAGCGAGTAACACAAAGTTCAACCAAATAATGGTGTTTACGTTCTATAACGTCATTCTGTTCAGAAGTGTGAGGGCATGTGATTCGATGAGAAATGCCTACACGAGTTAGCTCACAAGACAACTGCCTATACTCACCTCCCCAATCACTCTGAACCGATTTAATGGACAAAGAAAACCGAGTTACAATCATAGTTTGAAATAATCAAAATGCATCAAGAGCCTGAGATTTATTCTTTAGCATATATACCCATGTATGATGTGTACATGCATCTACAAATTACACATAGTACCGATAACCACAATAAGGAATATGTACAGCACCACAAAGAGCAGTAAAGATAAATTGAAAGGGAACATCATACACAGTAGTAGAGTAATCAAAGGGCATCTTGTGACTCTTTCCTATGCAACAAGCAACACAGGTTGTATTAAGATTGTTTGAAATGTTAACATTGATTGAATTACACACATCCTTCAAGGTATGAAAGGCAGGATGTCCTAATCTCCTATGCCAAAGATCAAACACACTAGAACCAACAACATTATGAACTTCAACTTTATTATATGGAAAAGCTTTAGACTTTATAACAAACGTATAAAGGCCTTCATGTTGTTGTCCTCGAAGCACCACTGCACCAGTCATTTCATCTCGAACAAAGTATTCTTTAGCATGAAACTCTAAGAAAACTTTATTGTCCCTAGCAAGCTTGGACACCGTAAGCAAATGCTTTGTTATTTTTGGTACATGCAAGAGATCACTCAAAATTAAAGCTTGAGAAGAAGCATTTAAAAGAGATTTACCAATCGAGTTTACCCCTAGTGATACACCATTACCTACTAGAAGATTACCTGGACTGGTAAACTCAGAAGAATGCATCATCTTGGAGGTATCTGGGGTTACATGATAGGTCACCCCCGAATCAACAACCCAATGCTCACCTGAAGCCACATGTGCTTGAGGTTGATTAGCAACAGACATACCAGTCTTAACACTGCAATAAGAACAACCTGATGAGTCAAGCATGGCATAATTAGTAGTACTAGATTCATCCATAGACCATGATAAACTAGAAGACGCATTGACACCAGGAAAATCTTGATCAAACCTATGTCAACACCGATCAATAGAATGCCCATTCGTACCACATAGCTGACACTAGAGACGAGAACGATCTCGACCACGTCCTCTAGATCAACCCCCTCGAATTGACTCAGTCGAGCCAGCTACCGATCTTCCTTAAGCAACATGAGTGCTCATTGTAAAGTTCTCAGGCTGAGAATCAAACCCAACAATCTGCGTTTCAGCATCAACAAACATAAAGTAAACCTGATCCAATGAAAGGGTTTCACGTGTGGTGGTAATCACTGCCATGAATGACTGATACTCCCGTGGTAAGCCTTTAAGAATGCTCACAATATGTTCAACTTGAGACACCGGACTTCCACAAGAAGCTAGAACATCACATATTTCTTTAACACGAGTGAGATAAACCAGGACCGAATCATTACATTTCTTCATAGACTGGAGTTTGTAATGTAGATTCATGACTGTAGTTATGGACCGATTTGTAAAGAATTGCATAACCGTATTCCAAATGGAAGTAGTTGACTTAGCACCAATGAACTGTGGCAATAGTAGAACACTGATCGTGGATAGGAGCCAGGACGCAAGCGCACTAGCCAGGATGCAAACATACTATCTTACGCTACAAAATCTTCACGAGCTTCATTAGCAATTATTTCACTATGCTCATTGACAACCGTGTCTGGTGGAATTGGTAATGAGCCATTTAGTAACCGTTCAAGATGGTGACTGCGAACTGTAAGCAGAACCTGTTACTTTTACAAAAAGAAGTTCATCTCGTCAAGCACTACATTTACACGCTTGTTGGTAAACATTCGAGCTTGCAAGGAGGATGAATCAGCAAAGAGCACCATCGCAACTAACAGAACTCTCCAGGATCGAAAGTGAATGATACCATGTTGAATATTGCAGAAAATACTTCAATAACTCATACATGAAATATATACATTCTTTTTATTCACTCAAATAAGTT